TTAAGGTAGCAGCGAGGAGAGTAGTTATGCTGCTGAATTCGGGTATAGAGAAAATCTACGATTATTGCTTCATAGGATGAAAGAGTTGCACAATACGAGGCCTGAAGTTGATCTTCAATCAGCAGCATGTTGCTATCAATAGGAAATAATACAGAAAGTCTGTTTACATTTTTCAACAGATCAGGAAACACTGAGAAGCATGAGTAAATTTATGACCGGTCGCCTCGTGAAGCCAGAGGCTCTTCAATACTACAGCCGGGCTTCTGCCTCACCTTCACGGTATTCGAGTTTGCAGTAGAAATTTCGCATGAGTCTGGTGACTTTTGTCGCATCTGTCCGATTACATCTGGCAAATTCTCCCCCGTAGTATTGGGCATTAGAACGAGGACACCAAATCCGAACAGTAAGATTACTCCAGCATAAACCACCAAAGGTGAGCCGTGGGCGCCATTAATGTCTTCCAGTTGATTAATGAAAGTGCAGATCACAGTGCCTACACGACCTAGACCCGAGGCAGTGCCCAAACCCTGAGTGCGCATCTGACTGGGAAAGAGCTCCTGGACATAGATATAAATCATGTTGACACCGGCGACGAGAAAGACAAGAGCAAGGTTGCTGCAGATGATAAGTAGCGTATCAGAGGTCGGTCGTGCCAACAAAGTGTGCAGGCCGCCTGTGAGCATAACAAAAGCAGCCAACAGAGAGACGCCGATCAGCGGCCAGCGACGATTCCGGAACAGACGGTAAAGCCCACCTGAAATCAAAAGAGCTGGCAGGCAGGATGCGGTATTTAGCAGAGTGACTATATATATGTGACCACGGATGAAACTAGCGTAATAGAAGAGACCGAACATGCATGTAACATAACCGGTGAAGAGGATGAGAGAGAAGATAGTGATACGAGCCAGTTGCCATGTAGAGAAAGGCATAAACAAACTATGCAGGCAGCCGACTCTCGCTGAGGCCTGCCGGTCGGATTGAGATGAATCCTGTCGAACACGTTCCTGCTCAAGATAGGCTTTCTCGGCTTTTATCATTCCGTCGAATGGGTTAAAGGCTGGATCGAAGTCCGTAGGAGATCCTGATGAATTATGTGCCTGTTTAGAGCCGTCTATGTTAAGATTATCGGTAGTGAAGGTCTGTGTCTCGATGTCGGGCCAACCGAACCGAGTGACCGTGGCTAGCCCACATATTTCATCTTCATCTTTCTTGTCTTTCATACTTGTTTTCTTGACTCTGAAAATGCACATTCGGCAATTGTTAGTCTTTTTGGCGTTATTCAAACAAACGGAATGGTGGTGGTTGACTTGGTAGCCGTGCCGAAGTAGGCAGAGGGCTTCCAGTCGCCGGCCTTGTGAGAGCAGCCAACGCGGTGACTCTGGCAGCCCAGTAATGTAGAAGACGGCAAGTATGGATGGCAACATAGCAACTGAGTTGAGGCTGCGCCAATCTGGCAGCAAATAGGCGGCTAGAACAAGCAAGGAGGGAAGGGTAAAGTTCATGAAGATGGTACGGATCGACGATATAAAAGAGCGATTATGAGCAAGAGTTAGCTCCATAGAGAGAACTGAAAGACAGGTGACCTTCGCGGTAAACGCTATGCCCACGAGACAACGAAGCACTGCGTACGAGGCGAAATTCGGCGCCAGAGATACAGACAACCCGGCGAGCACCTCGACCACAGAGAACGCAAGCACAGTTGGCCGGCGGCCGTGTAAGTCGCCCAGCCATCCGCCAAAAATGAAACCGAGCATCATTCCTAACATGAAAGCCGAGGTACCCATTGCAGAAAGCCATCGGTTTTCACAGACCAGGTTAAACTCAACATCAACAGGCCCCGGATACTGGTATACCGATGCTTGATAGACATACGAGTCCAAACAGGATTCGAGATCGAGATTAGATTTATCCAGTCGAGTCAATGAGGCAATAAGCCGATCAGAGGATAAGTCGCCAGACGTTCGAGCAGTTTCTGAGGTCTGGGTCCAATTTTTCGTCAGCCAGTCTGTCGGTAGCCTATAGCGTAGGCAGCCAAACTGACGTCTAATTCCATTGCCAAGATTGGCTTTCTCCTCTGTCGAGATGTTATCATCGGGCCAAGGACCCACAAAACGGGCAGCCTGATCAAATGAGAGGTTCGACAAACCGGTCAGATAACCCTCCAAATGGCCTGGAGCTCGACAGCGGTGTTGGTGGCTGACATGCAGGTAAACAGGCAGGGTTGACGATGGCGATGTGCTGATCACACTGAGCAGAACGATAATCCACTGCCAGAGGCCCAACTCGCCGACATACTGCTTGAGTAGTTGGTCGATGTTATATTCTCGCGGCATGAGCTGCTCCGTTGCAGAGACGGAAGGTACAGTAGAGGTCGGGTCTAAACCGAAAGGCTGGATGATAATTGAATTTGCCAGCTCTTGTATACCTTTCTCATCAACTTCAGCATAATTGCCACAATTCTGTGATAGGGGTTGTTGCGTCTGTTGGCCACTCTCGTAGTTTTCGCTAGTGGCTGATCCGCCTGACAGCACAGTGCAATTGATCTCAGCTCGCGACCCACCGTCTGGCTGGCACACATTCCGAGACTCATATGAATAAGGCATATTTAATGAAAAGGTGAGGTGATGCGACTAAGGCAATCCTAGCAGAAGTGAATGGTGCTGAAGATGGCATCCAGCAAAGCTGCTTGTATCCGAGTTGGCGGCGAAAAGAGACCAGAAATGAATCTCCTATTTTGTATGAACATAAAAGAGAGTGAAGTGCGGATAACTTAGAAGTTCCATACGGCAGAATTAATATCAAGAAGGACTGACAGCCAAGTAGCATGAAGAAAAAATGTATCTAGGCCGGTAGACTTGTAGTGTCTGGGCTAGATGTAAATCTTCTGATGCATATGTTCTGTTTAAAGTTGTTTCAACAGCACTCATAGTTTGCAGTGGAGAGCAGAAAGGGTATGAAAATTGATCTAGCTGAGTTTAGTGGATGTTTTCTAAACAATCCTAATATATTGGACAATAAGGTTAACCCAATACATAAGGAAGGTCCTATCATGCAGTAGGTCTAGTCAACCATACATCATTATCACTTTTCACTAATCGCTCTCATTTCTCAAATATATTTTCCTGGAGCAGAAATGTCGTCTATAACTGCTAAATCTTATTTAGACTCAAATTAGAAAGCATTACAGCTGATTCATCCGCAACGATCTCTAAGAGCTGATGGTGCTAATTATTCGTATGTCCACGTCCACGGTCCTACTGTGGAAATGATCATGCATACAATGGACTCCGGACTAGGTTCGTTCCTCTAAGTCTTTCTAAAAATATGACTAAGTTGCGAAAACAAGGTCAAAAAACTTCTATTCGTATATACAGTTAAAAGTGTATTCAACCCTAAGGGCGCGGCGAAAGTAAATGGAGCTCTATTAAAATTATCGTGTGTGCTTGATCTATTAGAGCCCTATAATTAAATATTCTTAATCCATATAGTTTGGAAGGAAAAAAACTGTTGGTATCAACTCACAGGCGTATGAAGCTCAACAAATAACACAAGATTATCTATCGAAAGAAAGTCCCTAAAGCATATCCGAATTGAGGGGCCTGTTTGGCTATGAAAGGCATACTCGTCCCGTGACTCAATCGAGTTGAGACCGTGAAGTTCAAGAAATAGCGCGTTTTCTGCGAACCTGCACATCCTTGGTGCGTATCCTGATGAAAGCGTGGAAAATG